GCACTCTGTATAATTGATATTATTTTAAAACTTGAAAACAGTCCTTTTATTTTAACAAATAAAAATGTAAAATATATTCAAATCTTATAAGACAACAAAATCTTTTTATTTCTTATGGAAGAATGGCATTAACAGTCAAGTGGTATGACTCATCAGTTGTAAATTAGGCATTGTCATTGTATGAATAAATTACCAATATAATGGGAAACATTATATACCCACTGGAACTAATGGAGCAGAAGTCAAGGCAACAAACAGCAGGCAGAACCAGAAGTCACCACAGGCAGAAACAAGGGATTTTCTTCACAATAGGAACCCATTACACAGAAAGGACCAAGTGACACATGCAAGTTATGTTCAAAATTATTAATTCAAAGCAAAGGGTTTGGGTCAGGGATGGCATCTCCAATGTGTATAGCAATACAGCAGCACTTCTTTTAGCTCATATTTGTCTCCTCCACAAACCACTCACTGATCTGAAAAAAGTCAAATCAAGTCATTTCAAGTTCATGAAAGGGCAGGGAATTCCATAGGAAAGAACAGAAATATTGCAGTACAGAGCAGTACCAAACTCCAAGAGCTAGGCCAGAAGGATATTATGGTCAATGGTATCAAAAGCTACTGAGAGATCAAGGAAAAGTAATAGAGTTACATTCCCTCATCTCTCTCTTAATAAATGAGGTGACCAAAGGAAACCAATCCTGATTCCATTCAAAAAATCAGACCTGAACACAGGAACAAGACATTTCTCCCAAAGCCTCTACAGCTGCACCCCCACCACACTCTTTAGCATCTTGCCAACAAGAGGGATGGCAAGCAGGTGGTAGTTCATAAACCTCTGGGTCCAGGGAAGGGTTTTTCAAGAGTGGTCACACAATTGCTTCTTTAGAGGCAGACAGAGAGTAGCACACAATTGCTTCCTTCGCATGAAGATGCATTAACCATTGCCTGGAACCACCCAATCAAACCTTCCTGGCTGGACCTATGTCAGACATGGGTCAGTCACACTGCTACAAATGCATTGCCCACATCAAACCCCATAACCTTAAATTGAACCCACAAAATCAATTAAGTTGGTGAACTGGACACCTCAACAGGACATATATCAAACTGTCTTGGGTTTTTCACATGGTAAAACCTCTAGGAGCATACTGAAAGGCAGAAGCAGTGTCCTATGACAAGGACTAATATTCCTGCTGCCTCGGGAATATTCAGATTGCATGTCATTGCATGTCATTCAGATGGAATGAATGCTGATCATGAGCTGCCCATCTCCTATTGTGCTTTCTTTCATCTAGGGACTGTCTCCAGGAGACACAGGTGTGGGGACTGGGGACTGGGGGCAGTCTTTTCAAGAAGCCTGAGGGCTGTGCCCATCCCAAACCAGCTCAATAACTGGAATGCAGCTTTGCAACTTACCAGCAATGAGCTGAGTCAATAGGGTAGGTTATGGTATATGCCCCTACCTTCATACAGTAAAGTAAATATTACTGTAATTAATAAGGGTATGTTTTGTTTATTACTAATCTTTTGTTGGGTTGGGTCCTTATTTCTCCACACATCCAGTAAAGGTGCAAATAAGGTTTAAATTGAGCTTCACCTTCTGTTATGAACCTTGATATATTTTATTTTGTTCTTAGACATTATTAATCCATGGTAATCATAGTTCCTGAGAGTAAATGAAGTAAGTTGTCATCGAATGATTGTATTTTAAAATATATACTTTGATACTTATTATTCATCTTAGCTTTAAAAAAACAGCCTCCTTCTACCAGCTACTGTAACAAGAGACCTAAGTCAATCTTGCTAACAGCTGTTTTGTTCACACAGAAAGGTTGACTATGCCAAAACAAGAGGAAAGAAGAAACCTGTGTAAACATTTATGGAAGAATACTGGCAAATGGATGTAATGTTATTAATGGACAATGTAACTCCTACCAAGCTAAGGAAGCTGCAACCTAACTCTGTGGGTGTTGAAATGAAGTACTGTCAGAAAATAACTTGACAGGATGAACTTTGATTCTAAATCAGCAGCAACAGCAACTGACTGGTATCTAAGTAAATAAAATGACAACAAAGAATAAATAGATAAAACAGAACCAAGAACTGCACAGGTGAGAGCAACAAATTCCAAGGGATTGTTGCAGCTATGCACTTTTTGGAACACATCTACACATCTTTTGATTATCAGGTCTGTTGGATTCACTTGCAGATGGAACATGTGAAACTATAAAAGAGCTGTAATTACCCTAGTAAAGCTGAAACAGAATTCTGCCATGAACATTATTTGCTGACTTCATATCTTATTAACCTTTTGAAGAGTTCTACCTATTAGGGTACAACATCAATTATTCTTTCGACCTGGAAAGGTGTATTAGTGCCACTCCCTAAACAGAAACCTGTTTATTCATTTCTCAGCATGTTAACTGTTCAACTGCATAAAGCATCTGTTAAGATATTTTTTCTTCAAAGCATTGTTCTTTGGGGCTACGTCTGTGTGCTTACAGGCATCCAAAAATAGCTTTTAACTAGATATAAAAATGACTCCTATTTATTTTAGATAAGCAAGTCCATTAAAGAAAAAGTTGCAACCCCTACTTGGGACACAGGAAAGGGGACTGGACATTCACGGGTTGTCACATTTTCTCCGATATCTCTCCTTGTAAAGGTCCCTAAGTCCAGAGCAAGGAAGCTAAATGCTGAAGCTTTTCAAATGAGCACAGGCTGGCCCAGGACACTTTGCTACCTGACTCCTTCACCCCCACAATTCCATGATCAGAAACCAACTAAATTGTTGATGACCAAAGTGTCAACACTGACAACAGAATTGCATCCTTCACTGCACATGAGGGTAAGCAGACTGGTTTAGGGAGTATAGTGCTAGTCACATGGCACACAGTTCTGTCCTCTGGTACCCTGCTATCTCTTACTATCATATCAACCAAAACACATACTAAAATGCAGCAGCATGTGTCACATGAGCAAAGTAACGTATGAACATGCATAATGCTTGCGAGAGTACATGGTCTGGTCTGGATACCTCTCTGCATGTTCATTCAGTACAGGGCCTTTCCCAGTGGAATCTTGAAGTGCTGGAAGACTGGACAAGAGTCAACAAGCTCAGGTTAATAACAAGCAACCATCACCACTTTCATGGCCTCCCAGCTTCCTCCATATGAGGAGTTACTTCATTCTGCCTAATGGTAAAAGCCAGCCCTGAGTGGGCATACTAGGTTCCTTGGAAATAAGGGTGGTATAAAAAGAGTACTTTACTCACAACAGTGCTTTATAGTCATGGCAGGCAACTAAACTACAGTTTTGAAGAGTAATACTTATACAGTGGTACCTTGGCTCACAAACTTAATCCGTTTCAGGACTCTGGTCATGGCCCAAATTGGTCATGAGCCAAGTCAAATTTCCCCATAAGGGTCAATGTAAATAAGGTTAATCCATTCTGTAACTATTTTTTTTAAACTCACAAAAATTTGAAGCAAAGTGACAAAGAACAACAAAGATTGTGGCCACCCCTCCCCCCGTGATCGTGCGGGGGTGGGGACTGGCGCAATCGCAGGTGGAGATGCGGGCGCGCTGGTGGGGAGACAGGCACAGGCGCAGGTGCAGAGCGCGCTCGGGCTGGGAACATGGGCGCAATCGCAAACCCCCCCCCCAGCACAACTGTGATTGTACCCGTGCAGGGAAGACGGGCATGCTTGCAATCATCACCCGATGCAGAGTTCGCAACCTGCGGCAAAATTTTTATGAAATGTCTGTTCGTGACCTGATTTGGTCATGAACTGAGGCATTCATGAGCCAAGGTACCACTGTATGTGCAAACAGTCCCATTGTTGCGGGTCCTTGTAAGACCACAGGTGAGTCGATACAATACATGGAAAATATGTGGGGGACTGCTGTTTTGGAATCCCATGCAAGTGACTATAAACATATTTAATGATAAGATTGTTGAACGGATAACAGAATGATGTTTCTGAATCATTGTTCCATCTAGGGGTTTGTTGTGTGGATATGATCAAATTCTGACTGCTGCAGAGCTACAACTAAAATTGCATACAATTACTCTTTAAATGACACATGGGGAGCCTCTAGCCTGCTCACCACATGCAGTCTTCAGGGCTTCCACATTCAGAAGCCTACTTCCTCCCCAAGCCCCACCCCCTCTCCTCTGCAGGGAAAAGCTCCCAATTCTGATCAGATAAGAGTTTTTCCCTACAATACTTAGTTCATATAATTTATCCATCTATTCCAGCACTGGTGACACTGACTGGCAGTGGCACTTCAGAATTTCAGGCAATACCTTTCCTAGTCCCACCTACAGAAGCCAGGCATTTCACCTGGGATTTTCTGCACGTAATATATGGGCTCCACCACTGAACACAGTCCCATACTCACAGCTTGGGAAAGGAAGCTGAGTGTTTTTGTCCTGCTGACTTCTGAGGCTTGTCCAGCAGATCTAAGAAGACATACAGAGGCTTGCCATGTTTTCTTGCAAGCAAACATGCAGAGGATTGGTATTTGGAATTCTATTTCAACATGCTGCTGAGAGGTTCAGTCCTGCTTACTTATGTATACAGCTACATCAGCATGGTCCCACTTACTTCTAAGTACATACGGCAACCATATTTGAGGCCCATTTACTATTTCTTTGATCCCCAACCACAGATGAGAAGTAGCTCCCAAGACCTTTCCCATACTATAGTGGTCCCCAAAATTGTTTGGGCTGCTGACCCCTTTCCTCTTGGACAACAACCCTAACACCCCCACACCTCTTTCTATTAGGTCTATTGCTCTATTGTAAATGTACAACAACCAATCACACACCCCTCCCCAGATCTGTTCACTGGCCACTTTGGAAATCATTGCCTTATTGGATTCACTCCTTGGACTGAAAAAAAGATTTCCCAGCTCTGCCTTAAATGATTCAAGTAAAAGATTTGCATAGTTGTATTAGACAACACACATTCTCAGTTCATAAATCTCCTTACCTCCACTGAAGTGGATTGCTGTAGCAAGGACTACCAGGGTTGCTCTGAGGTTGTGGGTTGAGGTAAAACATTAGAGGAGAAGAAGCAAGAGCACAATCAGCACTAAGTGGGATTTTAAGTTGCTGCAGAACTGAAGCAGAGAACACATGTTGGTGGACATCACCTCCTCGGCAGTGAGAAAGGAAAGGAGAGGAGATTCTGACAAAGTACCACAACAGAAACAGTTTCAAAATTATGCTGTTTTTTTGTTGGTTTGTTACAAAAACAAGCTATAGATGGCAAACAACAGGCCAATTCCTAAACATAAGTATTTTTAAGATTGGGGTCTCAATTAGAATAAATTCTTAAAAGCTGAAGCAAGTTTTGGGGATTATTTTTGTATCCACATTGTGGCTTTTATCTTGTATACTACTTTGAAAGGCCCCACCTTTAAAGTCAGCCTAGAAATAATGACTTATTGATTGATTGTGTTTCTCTATCAGTTCAACTGTATTTGATGAATAAACCCTAGATTACATAGAAAGATCAATTGCAAATCTCAGACATTAAATTGGGTCTTGTAAACCACAACTAGGGTTTTCCCATCATTATCTAAAGCAGAGGAAATAGTCAGCATTTCATCAATGATATAGGTTCCCAGCAGACTGCAGACACAATCTGTGTTTTTTGCTTTATAAGATTCACAAACAGATACATGCAGAGTTCTAAAAATCTGTATGTGTAAAGTTTCTCAACTGTTATATTAATGGATAAAATGTAAGTAATGTTCACTTAGTCCTGGTACTTAAAGCACTGATTTTAATCATATAGCTATACTAAAAATGTAATTCAAATCACTAGCCCCATAAGTATACATTCTGAAACATAAAATAAACCAGAAAGTTCACTCTAAATGTTACTCAATATATACAAGCAGATCACTTAAAGTGATCCATTATATAGCAATATGATTATACAATTATCACTATATTTAAAAGATTTAATAAATATTTCTTATGAAAAATCAAATTAACATAAGAATGTTAAAATAGTGTTTAAATAACACATTCAGACTCAAACACTACATTTTCTTATTCCAACAGCACTGGAAATCTATTTCCCAAAGCAATCCTTACTGGATCCGTAGAGGAGGGGCTCCAATTCTCTCTTTTCTTCTTTTCATCATTTCACTATGTGAAAAACTAGATTTTGTTCAGTGACTAGAAATCTTAAAGCCAGAAAAGTGGAAGAAATTCTGTTAAATCCAATACTGAACTTGTTGCGTAGCCTCAGCATCAACCACAGATAGTTTGCATTTAGCTGCAGCCCAGATTTGTCAGTCAGATCATGTCAGAACGCAATCATTTTTAATGAAGCATTCTGCAAGCATATTTATGGCCTCCAGAAACCACAAAGTTATAGCCAACTATCATGAAGCACTAAAACTGAGAAGCCAAAGACAGAAATTTTGCCACACAACCTACAATATACTTGACCACCACACACAGTTGCTGCACAGAAAATCAGACAAACATCCGCTCACTTCAGCAACAGACACTTTCAACAAGCCACAAGGAAAACAGAAACCAATGGCACATGAGCAAAAAGTTTGGCAGAAGCCTCACATACCAACATGAGAGCTCACACTGCAAAAGTAGTACACTGTCTTTGCTCTGACCCAGAGTCCCAGGAAAGCCATTAGCAGCTGTTATGCATTGTTGAGGAAAACTTTTTAATATCTCATTTTAAGAAATTGAACAAGGAAAAGATCTCATACCTTCTTCCTTTTTTCTGAATTTTTAAATTATATCATTTAGATAGAAGTTAAACATACTACTCTTGTAAACATACTACTCTCGTAAATCTAAAATAGATTTTACAAGATACAAAGCTTTCAGGAATGGAAAAAAAAGTGTTCTAACTAGTTCTTTAAACTGTTATGAATCAAGAAAGAACTGACAAAGAATACAAAGGATCAAAAGCTAGTGGTTTAAACAGTTCACAAACTCCTTTTAAAGAAAAAACTTCTTCCCTAAGGGATGACTCATATAGTAGTTCCTGTTATGTGTCAGGATCAGGGCCTGAGTGACCCTGCAAGTGCCTGCAGAACCAGGAGCACCCTTGAAGCCTCCTGCAGGGAGCAACTGAAGAGCAATTAAGCAGTGCAGCTGGAAGTCCTGAAGACCAGCATAAAAGGCTTTCTGGCACTGCTAGTTTTTGCCACAGTAATGCAAGTAGTCTTTGGGACACTTTGTGTGCTTTGGCCTTTGCATCACCATGCCCTGAACCTTGTTCCTGCCTTGCTCCAGTCTGTTCCTGCCTTGTTCCTGTTTGATCCTGCACACCCTAGTCTGCCTTTGCCCTGCTCCTGTGTGTTCTTGCTTGTTCCAAGTTGTTCCTGCCCTGCTCTAGTCTGCTCTTGTCTGGACCACCCTTAAATGACTGTTTCCCTGGTATCAGACCACTGGACTGTTCCTGGACCCTGCTCCCTCTCTTGCCTGTATAGTACCGGGCTCCCTGCTGCCTCAGCCCTCACCCTGGACTGCTGACCACGCCACCAGCCTCTAGACCAGGGGTCCTCAAACTTTTTCAATAGGGGGCCAGTTGAAAGGCGGCAGCTACAGGAGCAGGCCGGTGAACCATTGTCAGATGCGCGCAAGGTGGCACTGGATGCACATGGCGGCGGCTTGCTCGCTCAGATATATCCCAGCAAGTCCAAAACCATCTCCGAGTCAGCAAGCCACCGCCTCCAGCCCGGATTGCAAGGCAGCAGTGAGCAGTGTGTGGGGGAGGAAGTCGGCGGCGGCAGCTTGCTCACTCGGACATGGTTTTGGACTAGCTGGGAGATCTCCCAACGAGTCCAAAACCATCTCTGGGTGAGCAAGTGAGCACGCGCACGGGGGAACAGTGGCACAGGCCGGCTGAATGGCATGGCGGGCCGGTAGTTTGACTACAGCCCTTGGGCCAGATCAGGTCCACAATGCCCATTTATCCAGCCCGCCTCAGAGGTTTTGGACTTGCTCAGAGAAAACGATCTCCAAGTGAGTCCAAAAGCTCTGAGCCAGCCCAGGCGTACCCAGTGGGGAGATGGCCGTGATCACGGTCACGCTCGTGCAGGGAAGATGGGCTCAACTGCAGTCATAGCTCTCCACATCGAATGGTGAAGATGGGCTGTAGCATGGCAGTAGAGGCAGGTGGCTCTGGAGTCCCTGAAATTGCTCAGGCAAGGAAACTGGTTGGTGAAGTCTAGGAGGTGGAGGACTTTGCAACATCAGTGACTTGAAAAAAATGTTCCTGTTCCCCATAGAAGTCTGTACAATAGATGGCCCCATACTGAAGGTTATGGGATGGGGGCTTGGTGGTGGTAGCTCCAGGAGTCATAGAACCCTTGGTAGGGTGGCAAGACAGAGAACACAACCCCCCATCCCTATTTGATATGGGAAAGCAGGACCAATCTCTTCTCCAATCAATTGACATGGGTTCTTCAAATGGCCATGCTAGAAATTGAGCAGGGGGTTGTCACAGAACCAGCATCTCAGAGCAGGGACAGGCAGGTGGCATCTCCTGAATCTCACCCTCTGACACCCTTTTGGTGCTGTTTATGCTTGGTGGCCAAATTTGCCTACTTGGCCTTTTTGCCAGTTTCTTCAGCTTCTCTAGTTTGAACAATCCCGGAGTTAGTAGTGGTAAACAGCTACAAGGGGGACAATTGACAGACTGGAGGGCTCTGGCAGGTTTGTAACCTCAGTTGCCCTAAGAGCTCTACTCCATAATTCTGCCCAGATGTGGTCAGCATGATGCTTCCTCGCCTGCTTTGCAAACTCCTGGCAGCACTCATCTTCTACATGGCCCTCATCAAAATGCAGCAGGCATAGAGAGTACCCTTCACACACTTACAGAAGGAAGCCTTTGCTGTCATCAAATAGGAGGAGCGGAAGTAATGAGGATTAGGATTCCATTCCCATTTTATGGGCAGAGGTTTTCTAACATATCATTATTAGTGGTATTTTGTAGGCACAGTCAAGTGTCATCTCTGGATGCACTAAAAATACTTTCTATAGGAAATGGAAGATCCTCTATTCTTGATTTGGCCTCCTGGTGAAACCACACAGGCATAACATTTCAAACTCTGCTAATCTGTAGACTTCACTTTGAAAAACACGCATGAATATTTTTATTACTCCTGCAAGACAATCAAAGAAGGTTGCTACTTTTTCATGTAAGAACTGTTAGTAGACTGCCATGCATACTCATGATGATGTTATCTCAGTGATGGGAAGGGGACTTGTCTATGACTTTCCCATAATTTATCACATTGATCACGAAGAAAACACCTTCAGAAGAGGTTGAAGAAGCTGAGGAGATCAATTAGTACTAAGAGGACCCACACTTTTCTGGGAAACAGTCTTGAGGTTGAAAGTGTGGTTCCAACATTCCTTCGATTTCTCCTCCAATAAAGAGCTAAGATGTTGGATATTATCTGGGGACTTACAGTCCCATGGGAGGTGCAGCTTTTTTAAAAGCACTGTTGACGATTAGCATTTGAGATGTATCTGTACCAATGGTGGCTGGCTTAGAACTAGCAGGGGATATCCTGTGAGGTATCATTTGGTTTTTGAAGTTAGTTCTGGATTTATTATGAGATTTGGTCTGTTTAACCTGCTAGGTCTTGACTGTTGGTACTGAAGAGCCAGTTTCAATTTGCTGGTCCACAGGGATGGCTGAAGCGGTCAGTATGGCAGCATCTAGTTCTCCCAATACCACAGACTGTTGCCCTGAAGCACTTTCCATAAAAGGCACAGGAAGAAGCTTAGAAAGATCCCAAGCTGGTTTCATGCAAATGAATGCAAAGGCAGTATACAAAGGGCTAGTTCAGTATAGCGGTGTCTGTTGGTTTGAGGACTTGTAAAATCTTACTATTCTGTTTATCCTGACTTGCCTGGCAATGGGTATATGAGTCTACTTCATGTGCAGGAAAGGCAGAAAAAGTAGCTGGAGTGTCCATTTGTTAATGGCATCTTCCTGCCACAGAAAGTGCAATTCTGAAGAAGGCACTGTAGGTCAAAACAGGAGAAACAGAGAAAATACAAGAGAAAGAGAAGAAAAAAGAACTCTCTTCCGTGTCTCCAGAAGGGGACAGTCGAATTTTTTTTTACGGGATGTTTCTCTAAAGTGAGGGAACATATCAAATGCTGCTAATCACTGCCATGGCCAAAAAA